CACGGACACTTACCCTTAGGTACCCAGGGATGATGGGGACTCCCAATGATTTCCCAAGAGTCACTTCTGGGAGTGACTGAACTCCCCTTCTCCCATGGGAAGCACAGGCTCCACCCACAGTTCTCATCCTGCCTCACCTCCAAGATCTGATGACATTCAACAAGCAGTCAAGAGACCTTGTACTGCAGAGAATACACACAGTCCTAGGTCAACTCCCAGAGCCGCTGAGAGCATGAGGTGAGATGCTAGGCTCCTGGGGACCCACCAGGACAAGGCTAAAGTGCCTGCGGGCCTGCACTGTGGCTGCCAACAACCCAGGATCCTGCAGAGGCAAGGCATGGTCCCGCAGGTAAACGTTCCATTACTGCGTACAGAGGAGGGAAGAGAGAGATGAGAGAAGCTGGGGGGAGTTAATATTTAGTTCTAACTCCACCCCCATGTTGCTCCCAACATGTGGGGTCCCTAGGGAAAGACACAACTCCTGGTTTGTCTGCTTGTCTGGGTCGTCTGAGATTCGGGATTTTTGCTTCTTGTCCATCATTGCAGCCCCAGCATCTAGCATGAGTGCTGATACAACACAGATGCTTTGCAATGAATGACTGTTAAGAGAGCACAAACCCTAACCTGCAACCAGCAATCTTCAGTCTGACCCCATGACTGGAGTCCAGGGTACCACAAACAACCTTACCCAAGGTTTTGGGTCCCCTCCTTCTTTAAGGTGCCTGACTGGTCTCCTAGCATGAGCATCAATGATACCCTGTACCATGACCTTCCCCTTCCCTCCATCTTCACCACTCCATAATTTGAGCCCATAATATCATCTACTTGGGTTTTTACATTGTCACACAGGATTGTCACAGCAAAGAAGAGAGGGGCTTACTTGTTTTAAGGGTCAAACACATAGCTACCCAGGCAAGTAATTTAATAAGAACTACCCAGATATTCTTGTTTATAAGCAGCTCATGTGAGAAATCAATTTTTCAAGTTAGAGGGGGGCTGTCTGAGCAAGGCCACAGCTCTGAGGCCAAGAGGCTACTGTCCAAGAACACCACAGTGTCTCCCCCAAGTCAGGCCCCTCCTGTCCCGAGAGGGCATAGCCACGGCCAGGCCGGCCTTCCCCTGGTGGCCACGCTCCCAGCTGGGCCTGGCCGCCATCCCACCAGGCTGCCCTCAGTCCTTCTCCAGGGAGCTGCCCCAGTTGGAAACCAACTCAGAGGCTTTGGAATCTTCTCCAACACGTTCTGAGCACAAACCAGGAAGGCAGGGCTGGGGGCGGCAGGAACACAGATGCCGCAGCTATTTTCGAGGGCCTGAAAATACAAGATAAACACAGGTGTGTTCTGCACAGAGCAGAAATGTTCCCAAAGCTGCAAGGATTCTTTATTTATCAATAAAAAAAAATTGTTCAGGCTGCCACATCTCATCCTGGCTTGCAGGGACAAACATAAATAGTTCAGGTCTACAGAGGGCTTACAGACTCCTAGTGAAGGTGCTTGACTCATTTTCTAGAAAGCCGCACAAACTGACAATCTAGGGCTAACAATGAGGGCGATGCCTGCCTGTGTCTCCTGCCACAGCATGGAAAAGCAGGGCAGAGGGAAACCACCAGAACCGACTGCGTAGGCGGAAACTCAGGGTCAGACGAGACTCTCCCAGCAAATGCAAATGAACTTAGTCACTAGCAATTCCTGTCTCTCACCTCGCCTCATCTGCCCAGTAACTGGGAAGAACCAAGGGCATACTGAACAAATCCTAGTGAGAATATCCATTTTAGAACAGCAACAGCCCACGGGGCAGCTGAAGGAACATTTGGACATGTCCCTACCTCCGAGGAGGAGGCAAGGACTGTCTGCAATGGCCACAGGCTTGTACAGCTTCTGAATCCCTTCTCCACCCTGTCAGCAGAGAACATTTCTTGCCAAAATCTTGCTAAAATCTCCACCTGCTGTGAATTGGAAACAGTTGTAGGTGAGTTAGTCACCATTTTAACTTATTTAAGATCATGGCATGCTAGACCTAATGGAAACCTGCACCCAGACACAAGAGCCCTTTCAGTCCAAGGCCCACAGGAGGGCAGCCAAACCAAGGCAACAGCTCCTAGGATTAGAGATCCCACTGGCAGACCCCTCCTTGTGAGAGATGTGTTGCACCACCCATAGCGTCTTAGTGAATCCTCATAGCAACCACTGACAGCTGGTTTAATGGCCAAGGAAACTGAAGCTCAGAGGGGTTAAGATAAATTCCCAAAGACATGTACACAGCCAGGAACAATGGAACTGGGATGGAAACCCTCATTTTCCTGAGCAGGTGGCCTCTGTGGTGGTTGTCATCTCAGTTTGGGATACCAGGCAGGGTTGATAGGTATTTTATGGGAACAAAAGTAAAGCATGCAGGTATAGGAGAGCTGGAACCCTGGTTTCCCAGAAGATCATATAAAATAAAAATACAAGAAAGGCAACAGAACACAAGGGATCCTTTGAAGCAGCAAGCTCAAAATAGGCCCAAAGCGCATGGGATTACGCTGGCCCTGTCAGCAGTTTTCAAAATCAAGCAAGCAAGTAGGCAGAGCAGCTCCTGGGGCAGCAGGAACATGAAGATCAGTTCAGTGAGGACAGACACCCGAGCAGGATAATGGCTGCTGAACAGCTGCATGGACCAACATCACAGTAGACTGCAAGCAGACTGCTTGGGAGAAGAAGCCCCAGGACTTTTATCTGGTTTTGCAGAAGAGAAAGGTGAGTCATTTAAGATTATGGTTGGCACGGGGTGTTAATCAGGTACAGCACTAGTATGGGATGGTACAAAGGGCTGGCTGCAGGGATAGGAACAGGTGTCAGGAGGGGGCAGACTGGAATTGGGGAACAGGTGCCATAGGCCTGCAGCACACTAGGACTAGAGCTGTAATGGGTGCTGGAGAAAAGAGGATGCAGGGGGCCTGGCCCTGCTTGTTCACTCCACAGGACAGCTATAGGACTCAAATGTGAGCTTGGCTGGTGCAGAATGGAAGTGGCAAGAACGTAAAAGACTAAGCTCTCAAGTTTGGGGTGTGAGCAGTGCCAAAATGATAGAAAGATTTCAGGTCCAGGGAGCAGTGTGAATATGCCAGTTGGTTCGTGGGTCCAAATGCACAGGGGAGAGGACGTGTTGCATTCAGCAAATGTAATGTGTATATCAGCTGTCTGCCTGGTTCCAAATAGCTTCTAAACACACGAACTCGTGTCGCCGGGGAAATGGGCTGCAGTGCCCCCGGACACTTGCAAAAGTGGCTGGGTCCTTGCCACAGCCACCTGTTCATTTCTCCATCCTGTGTGGCTGAGCCCAGGAGACACTCTTCTCAGCCTGCATCTGCACGGCTAGTTTAGCACAAGGTCATCCGACGAATGTATTCCCATCCCTGTGCTGGAATGCCAAGGACTGGAGCAGCACACACTAAGAAACAGCTCTGCTCCAGTAACAGCCCTTCTATGGTATCCTTACAACCACACAACTACAAAAAGCTGTCCCTCTTCACAAACCAAACCAGAACTAAGACAGCAAGCCCCACATCACATATAGCTCTTTCATTCTTGGGGAGTACAGGCAAATAGACTCTCCCCCTTTGCCTGTATTTCTAAAACCCAATGTCCGTGTTCACCACTGATGTATTCATATGATGCTTCATATCCATCTAACAGCTTCCTCATTGTGTTGTGCTGTAGGTTTGAGTCCAAGCAGGAAATGCACTGCTCATGCGTAACCAGCCCATGTAAGCTGCAATGGAGGGGTGGCATGAGACGGAGCAACTGTTTGGCCTGCGTGCTTGCAGAAAAGCAGGTCACGGGCAGCGCTGTCCCCTGACCTGCCCTCCTGCTACACTGCTCACCTACAGAGCTACACTGATGGTGAAAGATGGAGAAATTCTTGGGGGAGCTGCAGAATGCCATGGTGGGCATCACTCCCACAGAGTCCATCAGGAGGCCAGCTCTCTGTCTCTTACCTGACGTTTGGCAAGCTACTAACCTCTGTGGTCATTAGTTCTCTGACATCTTTGGATCTGGCTCTTTTTAGAGACAATCACCCCTGATTATCAAGGTCAATCCCACTGATCACTGTCTGGATGAACCGGGCAGTGGGTAAGCACAGGCAGGCAGCACTTAGACATGGCCACAGGCAGTGGCGCCCAGGGGCCATGCCTAGCCCAAGCCTATATTCTCTCTTTGCCCGTCCCCCAAACCTTCCACACTGCAAGAGCTCAGGCAGCCGTGATGGTCTTCTAAATCATATCCAGGCCCCGCCACTCACCTGCGTGCAAGAATAAAAACCACCTTCCACAGCCTGAAGACTGCTCAGCTGCTTGTACTATTCTACCACCACAAGAATCTCATACTTAAACAACAACAACAAGGCCAGGCAGTCTAGGAATCACCTGAATAATGTATCTTCTACTCCTCATTTGGCGAGTACCACTGCTTGAAAACAGAAACAGCGGTCAAAGGCCCATTAGCTTGCATCACTTTGCACAGGTTTTATAGCTTTCGAGGTATTTATAGAGTTATGGGTATAACAATAATAAAATCATCCAACCTTTTTGCCCAAACAAGACAAAAAAAATTCTCTCAGGCACTGTACCTGTCTTTGATGAGAGCCAGGAACATTCTTTAAGTGTTTCCCACCAGTGAGGCATGACCAGCCTTTTGAAAGCCCCCCGACAGGTCCACGCGACACAGAGCTTTACAGCCCCACTGCCAGGGAGGGCAGGGGCCCCAGCCAAGCAGGATGCCTCCTGGGTTATTCTTTCCAGAACATTGTTTTTTTTCCCCTGTAGGGCCAGGCACTTTTGCAACTGGCCCCAAGACAAAAAGCAGCCCAGGGGATTTCACCTGCATAGACGAGGCTTGGTGACAAAATGCAGAGAGGCTTCTCCCTCACAAGTCCCGCAGCACGACAAGCCAAAGCCGGCAGCAGCCAGCCAACAGCGCAGCGAGCCAGAGCTGAGAAAGCAGGAGAGAACCTTGCATTACCTTGTTGATCAGAGTCACGATGTCCCCTTCCTTGATTGTCAATTCATCATCGTTCTGCGCCTCATACGGAAATATTACTTTGCAGTAATCCTTGGCTGTAAGAAAAAACAAAACACAACTTTGAAGACCCTTTCTCTAATGACAGGGGCCAGGAGAAGATGTTCTTTATTATGTTCATTTCAGGGAACAGCAGGCTTAAGAGGTAAGATTGCTGCATAGAAACAGGGTCATCCTCAGAACAGGATCTAAGGTTGGCTCATTTGTTTTTGTCCATTATGTCTCTTCAAAATTTCCCCCATTGGGCCCGGCGCGGTGGCGCAAGTGGTTAAGGTCCTCGCCTTGCACGCCCGGGATCCCTTTTGGGCGCCGGTTCTAATCCTGGCAGCCCCGCTTCCCTTCCAGCTCCCTGCCTGTGGCCTGGGAACGCAGTTGAGGACAGCCCAAACCCTTGGGAACCTGCACCCGCGTGGGAGACCCAGAAGAGGCTCCTGGCTTCGGATCGGCATAGTATCGACCCGTTGCGCTCACTTGGGGAGTGAATCATCGGATGAAGATCTTCCTCTCTGTCTCTCCTCTCTGTATATCCCCCTTTCCAATAAAAAAATAATAAAAATAAATTTAAAAAAAAATTTCCCCCATTTTATTTGAAAGGCAGAGAAACAGAGACAGAGAAATGGACTGAGAGAGATTTTTCCATTCATTGATGGATTCCCCAAAATGCCTATAACACCCAAGACCAGGCCAGGCTCAAGGCAGGAGCCAGAATGCCATTCAAGGCTCTCCAAGAACCGACACCTGCTTCCCAGGCTGGGCAGCAGCAGGAAGCTGGATCAGGAGCTGAGGAACCAGGGCTTGAGCTAGGGATCTTGGCGCCACACGCTGCAATGCGGCCACTGCACCAAACATACACCCCTCTTCATTTACTCCCCCTCACAAATCATGCAACATCGTGACATGCTATTAACTGCTTTTCATTTTTCAAATTAACAGAAATTTCCTATTTCTCAGGAAAATAGACATGTATGGGTTTATACACACTTCAGGTACATGCATAAGCAGATAATCTATAGAGAGAAATGCTTACATTTTATCTTTGCCTTGTTCAGAAACAGAACACTCATGTTACAAGGCTGCAATGGTACATAAATCAGCAAAGAACTATGCCACTGTGGTAGATCTTAAGAGACAGATATCAACCAATCTGTGTGCAAACATATGTCAGCCAAACAGCCAACCAACACGGACTGAATGTTCTTTACACATGTATGTGTGAAGAGTTAACTTGTTCAAACATCTCCCATGACATCTCTGGGAGAACCTGCCTAATCAAAGATGGGTCTACTTACCACCAATGAGATATACCAACCCTCACCAAAGACAGAAAAATATTCAAGCTACTCAAAATCAACTCAACGATGTCCTGAATTATATGCCTTTGAAAGCATGATGTGAAATTAACGCCATTTATCTAGAAGCACCAGTTGAGAAGACAGTAGAAACATGTACCATCCCTCTGGGAAATGACAACTTAGAAAACTGGGCTCTGATGACTCAGGGTAGAAGGTGTTAAGGAAAATTCAAGAGAATTAGCATCAACTGGGACAGGCATTTATTATTTCACATCAAAGTTGACAAACATAATGGTTTTAAATGGCCTTAGATATTTCCCAAGGATTAGGACAGTCCCAACAGATTATAACCCAGAATTATATACACAAGTATCAATTATATTGTCCCCGGTAGACTTCATGTCATTGAAACATGTTTATTTTGCTAAACATCCCATCACTCAAAGAGTGATATCTAAAGTAAAGGCAATATAAATTCATAATACAGATACACTATGGCCTCAGATGGAGACGTGCAGGGGAGAGGAGCAGCCAGGGGGACGAGAAAAGGGCACTCCCTTGCTTCTGCAAGGATGCTTGAGCTCTGTGTCCCATGGCTTGAAGAGATCAATTAGCTCCCCTGTCCTAGCTTACCCCAGGCCTCTGAGGGCATTTGCTCATGAACTTCTGCTGTGGAGCACTAGTTCTAAACCCCATCAATATCATGTTCCTGAACTCACATGGTTACTAACATTTCATCTCTCTTCAGTTAATAGCAAACCTTCCCAAATCTGAACTGGTCAGATTCTAAAGGCAGGGTTTGGGGGGAGTGAGGGGGTAAGTTAAGCATCTTTAAATTGGATAATGATAGCTCCTGATGAATTTTCCCACCAACTGTGCTACTGAAATGTAACTACTCACATTCAAAACTTACTCCACCAATGTGCAGTATCACTGCAGAACTACCTGGCAAAAGCAATCCCACTTTTAAGACACTTGTTCAAATTAAAATCATGGAGACATTTTACAAAGAAAATGAGATGCCCATGGACAAAAAAGAAATGAGCAGGTGGTGTTTCTGTTACCTTCTGTCAGAACAAGCTAATAAAGAGTGGTAGGCTTGTTGCTTAACTTGCCAGCGGCCATTCCCCGTCTACTTCCTAGTTCATCGAATTCCCAGTTTGTTCAGAAACAGGAAATCCTCCCACAGTCCTAGGGATGAGTAAAACAAATCCAGGCAAAAGGTATTGATCTTACTCCCCACTGTCTGCACTGCTGACTGGTCTGGCAGTGAGGATACAATGCATTACCAGCCAATGAGATGTGAGAGAAAATCTGCATGGGCAGGGACTTGACCAAAGTGTCTGGCTTTTATGTTTATACCATTGTTTCATCTTCATTGGAAGAAAAATCACAGAGAACTTGACCCTGAGCCCAGACACTACTGAGATGTGTATCAAGTTACCCAGTCTTTGAGGGGCTATCTCTGGACCTCCTATTGCATGACTTAATAAGACAACTGACAGCTACTATGCTGTGGTCAGGCAGATATTCATTACCTAAAACATGAGACTTCCTGACAAAAAGAGATGTGACACGAGAAAACAGGAATGTTCAGTGATCTCCTAGAAAAAGACCGTCTGGATGCGTCCTCCACTCTAAAAAAGCCTCTTTCTGTTTCCTTGTCATTACCTTGCAGCCTAACCCTTCTCCTACTCCTTCAGCGCCAGGTTCATAGTAAGAGAATCAATGAATGACTCTGGAATGCATGCACTTGTAACCAGCAAAGAGAAACCACCACCAGGAAAGCACTAGCATGCCTCAAAACGTTCCATGGGTCATTTTACTTCAGGCTTATCATTTCTTTATAGTAAGAATGGCAGGTATCACTGGCCTTCTTAAAAACACAGTTAATGAAATACAACATTTATACTATAAAATGCACCCAATTTTATTGCAGTATGATGAATTTTAATACATTCATACAGTTGTGTGACCATCACCATAGTCCACTTTTAGATTCTACCATGAAACATGTGCATAGAGAGAGAATCATCTAGAAAGCACCACAAAGGAAAAGACACAAGCAACTGTGTTGATTACCAATGAGCACTGTCCACTGGGGCAGCACATCTCAGCCTCTTCACAACCCTGCACCCCACACAGAGCTGGTACTCCTCACAACCCCAAGTGGTAGCTGGCAAGTGCAGGGAACTGTGTGAGACAATATGTGGAAGGAGAGGATTCTGGGCTGCAAGACAGGACACTAAGGACTGTATGTGGCCCCAGCCAGGCTTTCCCAAGGCCAGGACTCAAGCAGTTACACTGTGGCTCCAGGCAACCTCAGTGCCTTCAGATGCAAAAGTAGGGTTACCTTGGGACTGACGTTTGTGGCTTAGTGGGTAAAGATGTTCCTATGATACTGGCAACACACATGGGGCACCAGTTCATGTCCCAACTGCCCAACTTCTGATCTAGCTCTATGCTAATAGCCTGGGCAGAGAAGGTCCAAGTGTTTGGGCTTTGTATGTGGGAGACCCAGATGAAGCTCTGGCTTCACTCTGACCCAACTGTTCGTTCTGGCCAACTGGGGAGCGAATCAGCAGTTGGAAGATATCTCTCTTGTCTGTAATTTGTGACTTTCAAATAACTCTCCAAAAAATATTTATTGAACCACTACCATGAAAAAGATGTTGTCAGCTTTTGCATTTGAAATATGCAAGGAAGTCCAACCAACCATGCTTATCTTTGCATGGACCATCTATTCCTTTGAGAAATTAAAGGCAAAGCTCCCTGCTTGTGGCCTGGGAAAGCAGTCAAGGAAGGCCCAAAGCCTTGGGATCCTGCCCCCGTGTGGATGCGGACAGAAGATGCTTCTCTCTGTCTCTCCTCTCTGTAAATCTGCCTTTCCAATGAAAATAAAACAAATCTTAAAAAAAAAAAAAAGGAAAGTAAAGACAAGAGGAATGGCAAGAAAAGACAAATACAGTCATAAACAGAATTAACTATGATTTAATGTTGGCGTGCTTTAGAGAAAGGGAAGATTCTTTCAAGGCAGATTTCATCAAAGAGGAACCGTTTTATATGTCTTAAAAGGACATAATTCCAAAATCACTTTTTTATTTGGGGGGGGGGGAATGTGGGAAGATAATAATTTTTAAATGTGTAGCACATAGTGGAGTGAGGGAAGGCATTTTTCATCTATTCATCCACTAGATTTAATTAGTCTGAGATAAAAAGGGAAGAAGTACACTCACAAACATGAATCAAGGCACAATTTATCCAGTGACTAAGCTAACTTTGATGCCACTTTTTCCTTTAGAAAGATTATAAAATACAAATGAATTAGCATAAAACTAAAATCTTAAATCTTAAGCTTTTTGCTTTAATCTTGTAAGAATCTTTAAAAAAATCAGCTATTCTTTCTATAAAACAAAACATGAACATGAACATGCAAGTGTGCAGAGAAAATGTGTACAGCATCAGCAGGCTCCAGGACCCTAAGGCCACTTCCTGCTTCCAAGATCAAAAGCCTTTGTCTCAATTAAAGCTTTTCACATTTTAAGAAATGTGCATTATTAAAATCACCACATAGCCCAGTCACAATCCAAAACCCCCAAGACCATTACTTCCATTTGAAAATGTGGAGATATTCACATATTATTTAAAACTATTAAACGAACTGAACTCACATGCCTATTCTCTTCAGCTGGTTTTATAACCTATTCAATAAAAACCAAAACAATTCAGGGTCTATACCATGGCTC